GACTACGATTGGCCTTTCACGATGAAGCCCCATCTCGTGCGACTGTTTACAACTGGTTTAATGAGTTTAAACGTGGTCGCACTAATCTCACTGATGATTTACGTGAGGGACGGCCTTCTACGGCGACGACTGAAGATAACATCTGTGTTGTGCGGCGTATGATAGAGACTGACAAAAGAGTGACCTATCAACAGATTCGGACAAGCTTAGGCATCGGTATGAGTCAAGTGCACAAAATCCTCCACGAACATTTAGCGGTCAGGAAGCTTTGCGCCCGGTGGATACCTCATAATTTGACTGAGGCTCAAAAACTCCATCGTGTGGATTGGTGTCGTAAAATGATTGAAAGATTTAACGGAGGTGACTCAAATGCTGTGTTCGACATACTAACAGGTGACGAAAGCTGGATTTACTGTTATGATCCTAAAACCAAAAGACAATCTGCTCAGTGGGTGTTTCCTTTCGAGGAGTTGCCAACTAAAGTGAAGAGAGATCGAAGTGCGGGAAAAAAAATGGTGGCCTCGTTCTTTGGAAGGATAGGTCATTTTGCAACAATTGTGTTAGAGGATCAAAAAACAGTTTCTGCAGAATGGTACACTACCAATTGTTTGCCACTTGTCTTGGAAAAAGTTCGAGAGAAACGACCTCGCAGTAGGATCCTCCTTCACCACGACAACGCCTCGTCGCACACCGCCAAGCGAACGATCGACTATTTGGCGACATCAAACGTTGAATTACTGGGTCACCCGCCGTATAGCCCCGACCTCGCGCCTTGTGATTTTTATTTATTTCCAAAAATTAAAGAAAAACTTAAAGGAAAGCGGTTTATGAATGCTGAAGAAGCGGTGGCTGCGTATCGCGATGCCATTGAAGAGACCCCTAAGGACGAGTGGGCAAAGTGCTTTTCCCAGTGGTTCCATCGCATGCAGCGGTGTATTGACGTGAATGGACAATATTTTGAAAAGATATAATAAAACTAATAACTGGCTAATGTAATCAGTTTTTGATTTTCTAAGAACTTTCAGTTTGACCCTCGTATAAACAATTTACATAAAACCTTGGTGAAATTAGACATCAACACTTTTAAAGTAAAATAATAATCATTCAGCAATTATAGATTTAAATTTATAACCAGTGGTCGGAATTAGGTAGAGTTAATCATGTACTTACACTGATTTCATACAGCGAAAGAATAAAGTGGATAACCTCAAATCCCGAGATTAATTTTAAAGAGCAGAAAAAATCCCGTGATTTTTTAAATAAAAAGTTATTTACTTTTACACAATTTAAACTACTGCACGCACGACGTTGCCAAACTTACATCAATGAAAGAAAGAAATAAAGAAAGAAGAAATAAAGAAATCCCGGGAAGGTCCACATTAATATCAACATTTCGATGCAAGTACATAAATAACTCTACCTAATTCCGACCTCTGTTTATAACTAATTGGATAAAGAACATTTCTTTATAATAATATCTCCCTGTGTCAATACAGGCTAGGCCATATGGCTTATATAAGCTTCGAAATGGTGCAAAAATTCATTGATGTAACAAAATAATTTTTGCGTTAAAATATGCACATTTCAACATATGACCCATAAAGCCAAATTAAAATTCTAATCGTATCATAACACAATTGCAAACAGCCTTGCCATTACGCTTATCTTGCGTAGATAATTAGGTCTATAGTGTACTCATTGTCACGGTTATCATATTTCCTCATATGCGATTATGTTGCACTATTAATTTATTAGAGTAGTATAAACAAATACATTTTAAGCTTTGATATTGTTTTAGTGTAATTCAATATTATTTTTTATTATAGTTCACGAGCAAAATGTATTAAGCGGTATCCTGACCAGTAACGAGTTACATAGTTTGAATTGCCGCATTTTTCTTGATCTCGGTTTAATATCAATCTGGACACTTTTATAATACTTGAACAGTAAATTTAGGGTGAGTTTGAATCCCTGTTTAAATATTTTGTTTGTATGTACTTCATACTAACAAAATATTTAATGATTTCAATAAAGCTGTTTTCCTTTACAATAATTTACTTCTATACGACGCTTCATCCTTTTGCTTGCAACGGAAATCTATACTTATACTTCATGATGCTTATTTTTTCTGAAATCATCTGGAATTATACTTTAATGTCGGGTATTAAATTAAGGAACACCACAAGTGTGTATTAAGTCTGATTTTGGTTCTGAAATAGTATTCCCCCAGCAAAATTAACACGAACATGCTAGCGCTAAGTCGGAACGTTATCATTCCTAAATAAGTATAACTCCAGAGTTTTGGCAACGAGTGATATAGTTACACTTACTATATATTATATTCGTAAATAATGTTTGCTATTTAATAATACTGGCATTTTGGGAGCGACGAAATGTTACTACTTTTGCTAATTAAAAATAAGGGATGATATTTAAAATTGATAAATTACTATTCCTTTCATCATCATCAGCCCTTTTACGTCCCAACTGCAGGGGCTCAGACTTATGGATGGTTAAGGAGGATAGGCCATGACCCTCCACGCTGGCCCAATGCGGATTAGAGGATAACTATTTCTTTCACTGCAGAGAATTTTATTCGACTTTTGTATTTACGAGTACTTATACTTTTAGATATATTTTATATATATAATTTATTATTTATTTTATATTTATTATTTTATATATACTTTATATAATTTTATATTACAAGAATATTTGATTATTTGTTTTAAAAAGAACCACTGGCAACCGTTCTAGATTTTATTCTTACACCAAAATGTATCCAATGAAATAATTTCAGCTAGCCCGTAATGTTCAGCAGATTTAGGTTGAATATACAGAAATATGTGCGCTGGGCTAGTTACGTGAGGTGTTATTATCAAGGAAATTTCACGTGCAAAGTTTAAAACGGCTTTTACGTCAGCGCATGCTTAGCTTAAATATACTTCACTAACTGTTATTTAATTCGCACATTATAAGCTTGCTTTTGAAAATAATAGAACTATTAAAGCTGTCATTAAAACAATATACAACAACATTAATTAAATAGTATCTATATATTAATAAAAATGATTAACAGTATTTCATTAGACAATAATGGGTAATTTTAAATGACAGTCAGGAGCTTATTTAAATGATTTGTTATTAAGAAAGGTCACTTAACCTAAGCAAAGCGATTGGTATGTGATTTAAAACTTCTCCACAGAAAATATACATTCCTATATACTTAGAAGTCGACCAAAACATCCCGTTAAACTTAGGAGTCGACCAAATCTGACGCCTAAATGTTTAGGGGTTGCCTAATGGAAAATACATTTCACCAATGACTAGGAATCAAGTGACGTCATTAAACCATGTCAAAAGTTATGCCATACGTTATGCGGCGACTTGCACTCTAATCGTTTGCGTTATACTACAAGTCACAATTACAGTTTATTAGGAATTAAAGTAATCTGCTTAGGCTTTAAGCTATGCCTTTTTCTAGGTTAGTGAAAACGAAGTCAGTGTACTTTGAATAAATAAACATAAGCGGACAAAATCTTAATAGATTATATTCCCGCAAACAAGAGAAAGGTGGTAAAATCCACGATGGAAACAACCTATTTATAAAGCTGTCTGTTCAGAGGAGCGGCTGAGAGCGTTGAAGCGACATCCACTCTATTTGTCTCGGCTAACACAACCGCTGCCCACTTCTCGTCGCCTCCGCAGTTTGCTTAGTGGATTTTATCGTTTCTCCCATAAGGTTGTTCAAAATGGCACCGGATTGTGACACGAAATTATATCAACAACGCGATAAACATGGGAAAGGAAACTTTTCTTATTGGAAACGAAATAAAAATAAGAAAACTCAAAGGTTTTCCTTGTAAATTCATTTCAAATCGCTCTACAATGAGATTGCAATAGAAACAGGGCCCGACCTAAGGGGAAGACAAGCCGGGCAATTGCCCAGAGGGGCGGCGAAATTAAGGGCATTGCATGCGTTCAAATGGAGTCCTCAACAATCTAGAGAGAAAGAATATATTTATTTACTTTAAAAATGCCATTTTAAATCGCAGATTAATCCCCGAACCGAGATAAGTAACATTAAACAACGAAATTTAATAGTAACCAATCAAGCTGTTTAGTGGTAGCAAACTCATGACGTTGAATATAATTTTGCCCGGAACTACTAAACAGCTTGATTAGACCCTGAATAATGATGCTTATTGGTTTTTTATTTATCACGTGTTGATTAAATATAGCAAAATATCAAGAACCAATTAAATAGTTTCTCTAATAATCAAAAGGTAGGCAAAGACACTAGACAAAAATAGAAATATATATATTTAAGACCCTATAAAGCACCAACGGTAGCGACGTAGCGACCAATCCCACCACGTTTCGTATGACGTTTTGAAAATCAAATAATAACAGAATTACACAATTTTCACATTTTAAATAAGAAAGAGTAGACACAAAAAAGAAATGCCTACGTTATCAATTTCCATCCATATAAAATATTATTTTCCCTTAATTTTATCAAAGAATCGTTTGCAGATAATTCACATACATCCCGGAAATGACATGGCGCCGGGTCCCCTGGATTTGACACACCAATCGAATTACGAAACCATACCTTCGTATGCCGAGAATAGAAACGAAAATATATTTCAAGAAAAGACCGACACAATCCTTTGTTTCACAGCTGTTGTTTTCACGAGGAAAATTTCCTTTTATTGTATTAGTGAATGCTTATTGTATATTTGAACGTTTTTCCTATTGTAACCGCCATGGAGTCGCCTCACTTTGTATTTGTAATTTTAATGCTTGCATCAAACCTCAGTTAATTTTATATGAATTGACGTAAATAATCTTTAATTTTCAAGACTTTGTGTATAGCCTTGTCGTTCTTCGTGTTAGTAGTTTTATATATTTTTATGTCATTATACAAACTCGTTAAATTTATTAAAAAACAATAACTAAGTAAATCTTGGTACACAAAAGATTCAATAAAAACTTACCTCTTCCTCAGTGGTGGCCGTGTTAACGGAGTCCATGCTTTGGCAGAGTGCGAGTTCCATATTCTTGTGCTGAGGGGAGGCGGACCGCGGCGAAGCCTGCTGCGGCGGCACCAGCGCGCCTTGTGTCGCTCCTGCCGCCTGCTGCACGCCCACACCGCCTGTCGCCACAGGACTCGACGCCTGCAGGCCTTGACCTTGCAACCCTTGGGCTTGCAGGCTCTGTGCTGCCTGTAAGGTTTGCTGAGCTTGCAGGTTCTGTTGCGCCTGTAGGGTCTGCTGCGCTTGCAAGCTTTGTTGCTGCAGATTCTGCAGTGATTGATGAGCCAAGTTCAATTGGTGCTGCTGCACGATACTCTGCTGCACTATGCTTTGTTGCACTTTTATGTGCTGGTGTACGGCTAACTGATGGATCGGGTGAAGGGTTGCGGGGGGAGCGGGGTATGGAGGGGAAAGCCGCTGGCGCTTCACTTGCGCACTCTGAAGCGCTTCGTGCAGCCTCTTCACCGGTAGGGGGCTCTGGCCGAGGTTATCCACGGCTGTGGCGGGGCGTGCCGGCCGAGTCACTTGACTCCGGCGAGCACTGACTATGCAGCGGACAGGCGAATCACCGCGCTACGGAGCGCGCGGCTTATCGATACACGTATCGACAACGGCGCAGCTTTACGCACGTCGTGGTACGTCTAGTAATTGACTCAAATATTTATATTATCTAATACAAATTGTAACGCGATTGTAACGTTTCAATGTTTCTTAGTGCCTTAGCACTTGAGCTTTCAATGATTAGATAGAGTTGATCCTCTTGTAAATCACTCCTGAAAAGAAAGAAAAATCATATTCAATATACAAAAAAGTAGTAAGAGGATTATTGTGAAATGAAATGTAGAATTCTGGCAGCCGGTAACGTTAAATTAATTTCTGCATTCGTTAGGATTCAATAAACATGTCGAAATATTCTGTTGTTGAGAATTTCAAAGGAAACATAATATTATATTCGTAATTTAAACGATATTTGATAATATATTTATTAACGTTACATTTATTTATAACAGCGTTTAATTTCATAATAGTATGTATAAAATGGAGTTGTTATTTTATTTCAAGCGTATATTTATATTTTATTATGATCTTTTTCCATATTGAAGTTAATGTATAAAAACTTACTCTATATCTAAATTAACAAAAAACGTATCTTATTAAGTAATAGCTTTTGCTGTATTAGTTGTTAAGCTTTTAATTAAAGTAACAGTTTGATCAATAACCGTAGTTTTAATAGAGTCTAAATATAGAAATTGGGTCTATAATTGATGTCCTTCACACTAATACCAGAGAAAATCCTGATGTTTCCGAGAATACGGGATATTGTATTTTATTACGGTAACATTAAGGTGTATTTTATATCATGAAAATGTGTCAATGAGAGCTGATTCCGATTGCATAGAAAACATAGACAGTAGGTAACTTCTATTTTGTTACTTTTAAGAAAACTAATATTTACTAATTTAACTGATTCCGTTCTATAGAAAAATAAAGGGATACTTATGCGTAAAATAAGTATTCATTTTGATATATAAAGTGTAAATATAATAGTTTAATTATAGACGACCACATTAGCTGCGATCTTAAATAAGTCAATTTATTTTATTGAGTACGCATTACGTATTATGGAGATCAGATAATCCATAATAAGCGTGTAATTATGAAGTATCTGGAAATACAAAACAAAAATTTCAATTTTTAAATTGAACCAAGGAATTAGGAACCCAGGAAATAGGGACTCATTACTTTATACGTTTGTTATCTATATCTATGCTAATATGTCATTGAAACAACAAAAAATAAATAAGACAACATCACATACTTTGCTTAAATTTTCATATGAGTCACTGAGTCACTCCATAGAATTTTTAGTTTTGTATTTGCATTTGTACTCAAAGGTGACTGACTGACATAGTTATCTATCAACACACAGCCCGAACCACTGGACGGATCGGGCTGAAATTTGGCATGCAGGTAGATGTTATGATGTAGACATCCGCTGAGAAAGGATTTTGATCAATACCACCCCCAAGGGAATAAAATAGGGGATGAAAGTTTGTATGAAACTTTGTCAATTTTAAACTGATCGGGCTGAGACTTTGCATGCATAAAGCTTCTATGACCTAGGCACCCTCTAAGAAAGCATTTTGATCAATTCTACCCTCAAGGGGATAAAATAGTGGGTGAAACTTTATTTCAGGTATTTTAGATGAAATAATGAATAAATATTCGTTAGAAATGCTGCTCAAAGTAACTTTACCACGCGGACGAAAACAAAAAAGCTAGTAGCAAAAGCTAGTACAAAACAAAAAGTTCAATATTTACATTAAACCAACCAGGAATCGAATTAGGAACTTAGGAAATGGTAACTCATTTTGTCTATGCTAATATTATAAAGAGGTTTCTAACTTTAATTGTTCCAAGGATTTTTATTTAACCGACAGGAAGCTACATCATACGCGTTTGCTGTAAGCAATAATTTACGCGGGAATACAGCTTAGTGATAACAACGCTCAAAAACATTCAAGCTCGCGCGGGAGTTACGTTACTGTTCAGTTGTTAACTGGGCCAGCTCTAATGTGGGTGGTGTTCTATCGTTTACGCTGTTACTCATCGCAATAAACAACTAGAATCAACTAAATTAAAGACTGGGCCGATGATATCAAGCGGAGTCAACGTGCAACAGTACGTCGGTTTATTTTTGTGTGAGCTAAACATTCTGTAATACTATTGATTAAGAAATATAATAAAATAACGTTTCTTAATAATAACATGTTATGAATAGGTTTAATGATTGAAACACCTCCTTCTCTTACGACCTTAGTATGATAATAATAATTGGAATATCGCAGCCATAATTTTTTTAATCAATGAAAATGTCTTTATTATATTATCTATTTTTTATTATAGTATTCAATCCACATAAAACTCATCGGATCAATATAATGCTGAGGCGGGGCCTGATTTAACTAGTGATGTATTCTTAATGAAAAAATGCTAAAAAATCCACTATGTACCAGGCACTTTTGAGATGGGACTCGAACCATGACCGTTCGCAATCTGAGCGACTGCACTTTGAAATTAATTTTTAATTAAGAATATTTTTCAGTATGTGAATTGTTTTTGTATTATTAATAATTGTTATTATTTTATTTTAGGTTAATAAGGGTCTGTTTCACCAGTTGCAGATAAAGTTCCAGCTAGTTATCTAACATATATATGACATATACAATAATTTGTAAATGTTAAAAGTCTTATTTATTTATTTTATCTCTCTTGTTCCTTTGGTATTTCATTTCTTAGTCTGCATAAGCCAAAATGTAATACTTAAAAGAGCACTGACTCCTGACATACAGGGCAACCTAATTTGGGAGACAGGGCAAATTGATTTGTTACGCTATGTAGTTACTCAATAAAGAATTATATAATGCTATCTGACAATTAAAATTCACAGATACTATCCATCAGATTGGGCTATCTGAGACTTGAACAAAAACCAAAATTTGCAATTTATCTGGCTGATAAGTTTCTGATGGGGATTTTATCAGCAACTGCTGAAACTGGCTCTAAATATTTCTTCTGCTTCTACTTCCATGAATTCCTATAATTTTTTTTTATTAATTTATAAATTTTCCATTTCTATGACCTCCACATGTTAGAATTTCCTAATTTGTAATTACCTGAAACTTATTATGGCGTTGTTCGTTTTTACAATACCAATCGGAAGTCAGTGATTTCTTGCATACATGTACAAGTATTGAGTACAAACCTAGCTTCATTCATTTGTCATTAAAGAAAAGCTTATTTTATTCAAGATTTTATTATAGAACATTCAAGTAACTTATATTTGGCTCTTACTCGGATAGCGATGACCTATACACCTTAAAAGCTCCTCAAAATAAATCGTTTTTTGTCCGAAACTCTAGTCTACGAATTGAACCGGACTTCAGAAGGCTTGATGTATAACAATCACGTGTATACAGCATTAGCACTTCCAAGGCTATTGCTTTTTGCGGCAACTCATGACTAAGTATGCAACAAAAAACATACACTAACATTATATTCTCGCACAACAACAAGTAGAAGCACAGCGGCTTCTGAATCTCGTCTTATATTGTAATTAAGGAAATCTAAGGCGCTAATTATCATTTTTAACGTTCCGTAGCTAAAGGTTGAAACGGGACTATTACTAAAACTCCGTCTGTCACCAGGCTGCATCTTACGAACCCTGATAACTAGACAGTTGAAATTTGATGTCATGTTTCTGAAGCCGCTATAATAACAAATAAAATAAGCTTTAAAAACAGAAAAAAATATATTGAAGGGGGACTCTCATACAAAGGACATTTTCTTATTCGTTTCTTAATAATAATGGCACGGAAAACTTCGTGCGCGAGCCCGAATCGCACTTTGCCAGTTATTTTTATACACAACCGATGTTGTCACAGAACTGTACAATAATCCAGTGGAACTTTAAGTTTTTCTCTACTTTTCTGGAGCCTCAGGGATTTCGTTTATATTTTTTTTTTATTATTCTTAGAAAATGGTTCATTAAAAACTCATTATTAAATTATACAATAACAATCTTGCTTTTTTATATGACTCACAGGCGCTTTTAAAAATTAATACTTAACTTTTCATATACATACTTATCAAGCCACTTAATTTCTTTGTCTGTGAAAATACAATTAAGTTATAACATATATAAAAAAGCGAGGATATAAATATAGCGCGAGATAGCAAGTTTTGTTGACCCATCCTCCGCATAGCAGACCGCTAACCAATACGCTATCGAGCCATTCTAGAACACACACTTACTATAACCGTATAAGATGCAATCTAGATTAATATAAGAAACCACGCCTCTAATTACATTAACACGAGCACACCGCGTAGTTGCGATCGTACGATCGCATGTTGCAACATCGTCTAGGATTACTTACACCATACCAAACTTTTATACTTAAAGTGAGTGCACGAAAGTAGGGTCCGCTCTATTTCCTTTGCCGCTGAATACTTTAATC